CATTTGTTCTGTATTATTTCAGGTAAACAATACAAAAAATTAAATGTGAGCTTAAAATAAAAAAATTAAATTAGCTCTCTTATAATTAAAAAAAAAAAAAACTCTACAAAGAAATGTTTTCTCTGTTGGGGGAAACAGGTGTTTTTGTGTTATTCTGTTCTATGGCTCTCGCCGATAATAAGATAAGTACACAGTGTTTCCTGTATTCTGCTTCCTTATCAATCATTAGCTCTTAAAGGAATTTTGTTGATCAGAAACTCTCTTACGACAAAAACTTGTTTGCAGGACTGAGAGTCAGAACAGATCAATATGACGAAGGGACAGACCTGCAAGAGGAGGAGGGGGGGTGAAATGGGGTGGAGCCTAAGTTACTTGACACTATTTAAGAACCGGCTTTTTTACCTAGTGTCATCAGAAAGAAACTGATTCACTTGACTTCAAAGAAGAAAAAGAAGGAGAAGGAGAAGAAGGAGAAAAAGAAGAAGGAGAAATAGAAGAAAAATTACAACTTTCTACAACTTTTTCCCTGTAAGTACAGAAATTTAATTTAAACTTTTCCTCCCTGAGCTTTGATGATGATTGTATTAACAATGATTATTGGCAAGAATTGCAGATTGGTATATTTGCTTGCATTAGTAATATTTTTTTGCTATTAATTATAAACATTTATGTCAATTAGATGCTAAATCTTGATGTTATTAAGTTTAAGACATTTTTATGATTTGCTAGACTTGGGAGAACCCAGCCTATCGGTTCAGTAGGACCTGACAACATGACGGATTCTGGACGTACTTCTTGACTCCAGATTCTGTTACTTGGCCTAGTCCTGGGAAATGGATTGGCTGGGCAGTGGTTTGGCTATCAATATGGCTGCCCTATTGTGTTTGAGAGAGTGGTTTGGTTTGATCATTCTCAACATGCTCTTGTAGAAATAATAGATGGATTCTACATCATCCCTATCCCTCTACATCATCCCTATCCCTCTACATCATCCCTATCCCTCTACATCATCCCTATCCCTCTACATCATCCCTATCCCTCTACATCATCCCTATCCCTCTTCATCATCACTATCCCTCTACATCATCCCTATCGCTCTACATCATCCCTTTCCCTCTTCATCATCCCCATCCCTCTACATCATCCATATGCCTCTACATCATCCCTATCCCTCTACATCATCCCTTTCCCTCTTCATCATCCATATCCCTCTACATCATCCCTATCCCTCTACATCATCCCTTTCCCTCTTCATCATCCATATCCCTCTACATCATCCCTATCCCTCTACATCATCCCTATCCCTCTACATCATCCCTATCCCTCTACATCATCCCCGTCCCTCTAGATCACCCCTATCCCTCTCCATCATCCCTATCCCTCTACATCATCCCTGTCCCTCTACATCATCACTTTCCCTCTTCATCATCCCCATCCCTCTAGATCACCCCTATCCCTCTACATCATCCCTATCCCTCTACATCATCCCCGTCCCTCTAGATCACCCCTATCCCTCTACATCATCCCTATCCCTCTACATCATCCCTGTCCCTCTACATCATCACTTTCCCTCTTCATCATCCCCATCCCTCTAGATCACCCCTATCCCTCTACATCATCCCTATCCCTCTACATCATCCCTGTCCCTCTACATCATCCCTTTCCCTCTTCATTATCCCCATCCCTCTAGATCACCCCTATCCCTCTACATCATGCCTATCCCTCTACATTATCCCTATCCCTCCACATCATCCCTATCCCTCTACATCATGCCTATCCCTCTACATTATCCCTATCCCTCCACATCATCCCTGTCCCTCTTCATCATCTCCATCTCTCCTCATCCTACTATTTCAAAACCTCTTCATCCTACTCTTCCTTTCAGAATTGGAAACATTTGAAAAAAATCTCCTCAGTTCTTCTGATGCATCTCATTGGTTTCCTTTGCTCTCCTCCCATTATCTCCTGCATTGTGGCAAGCCTGGACATGTCCAGATTTAACCCTGACTTTGTCCACTGCCATGGCTTTCAAGTGGCCATAGCCGCCATAGTTCACCATTATTAAGTGGCCATTAGTAAGTTGGATTAGATTGGGGCTGTAATGAAGGTGTCACTCACAGTTATATTTTCTGGGGATTGTCCCACCATCCTTTGGCAGATGGGGAACTGGGGATAGTGGTGGGGATTGTCCCACCATCGTTTAGCAGTTGAGGAACTGGGGATAGTGGTGGGGATTGTCCCACGATCGTTTAGCAGTTGAGGAACTGAGGCTACTGGTGGGGATTGTCCCACCATCGTTTAGCAGTTGAGGAACTGAGGATAATGGTGGGGATTGTCCCACCATCGTTTAGCAGTTGAGGAACTGAGGATACTGGTGGGGAAGATACAAAAAAACAATACCAAATGCTAACAATACTTCCTATCTGAAATCAAAATGTTTGCTATCCTATTTATTGCCGATGTTGTTTTTAACCACACATGATCTCACACCTTCCAACTATTTCTCCACAGGTTAAGCAAGAATACCTGACATCAAAATGCCTTCCAGGCAGAAGACAGAGCTCCAGGTTGCAGGCATCGTTACTCAGGGAGATCTGAACAGCTTAAGTCCTGAAGTGGTCCATTATATCATTACCAATGCCCGCATCTGCTTGCCAGATAACATCCACATCTGCAATGGTTCTGAAGAGGAGAACAAGAAGCTCCTCCACCAGATGGAAGAGACTGGCATGATCAAGAGACTGCCCAAATATGAAAACTGGTACGTAGGTCTATGCTATTATAGGGTGGGAGAGATTTGAGATTCCAGACGAAATATTAGTCATAGAACGTACATTTGCAGAGTTCACATGTTAATGGTAACACCTTTTGTCTCCATATCAGTTGGCTGGCTCGTACGGATCCCCGGGATGTGGCAAGAATTGAAAGCAAAACTGTAATAGTCACTCAAGAACAAAGAGACACGGTGCCTATTGCCAAAAGTGGACTCAGCCAACTAGGCCGCTGGATGTCAGAAGATGATTTCGGGAAAGCCTTCAAATCCAGGTTCCCTGGTTGCATGAAAGGTACAGCGATGGGGTCCCTGAATGACCCACGGAACTTTCTTTTTAACACAACTTTTTTTTTAGGTAATTTAAATGTTTAAGCAACCAGCTCTATTATTAATTCCTATATGGCTTTTCTTTTTTTTGGCAGGTCGCACAATGTATGTCATCCCATTCAGCATGGGTCCTATTGGCTCCCCGCTTTCAAAGATTGGCATTCAACTGACGGATTCACCCTACGTAGTCGCCAGTATGAGAGTCATGACCCGAATGGGAACGGATGTACTGGATGCCCTTGGGGAAGGGGAGTTTGTTCGATGCCTTCATTCTGTCGGCTGCCCTTTACCACTAAAAAGTAAGTTATCAAGACTATAATAAAAAAAAAACATTATGCACATGTGCTGGATATTAAGTAAAGAAAATGATCTGAGGAAAAACATTAATCCATGTATGTGTGTTTTGCAGAAGCGATGATGAATAACTGGCCGTGTAATCCGGAGCTGACTCTCATTGCACACATCCCAGACCGCAGAGAGATTATCTCTTTCGGAAGCGGATATGGTGGAAATTCTCTCCTGGGGAAGAAATGCTTCGCTCTCAGAATTGCCAGTCGGATTGCGAAAGAAGAAGGATGGCTGGCGGAGCACATGCTGGTACGAAAAAACACTGAACACAGAATTAGAAACTATAATCCATTGAAGGAATCCCATATTGAGAAATGACGAAGGTTGTCACTGCTTAAAGCTTAACCCCCCCCCCTCCCCAATAAAAATATATATAGTATACATACCTTTTTTTTTAGCTGTCTTCGGTCTGGACTTGTGATGCCCCCAAGTCCTCTCCTTTTAATTCCTATAGCGGCAGTCATGCAGAGAATGATGCTACATAATGATGCAGGCACTGTTCTCTGTATTATTCTCCTGCATGTAAAACGTGGTTTGATGGCTTGCCCCCAGCGGGGTGTTCCTGATGCCCTGGGCTCACAAAAGTGGGGAGTGTCTTTCAAACTGGATCTGGAATTGTGGCAGGGACTAAAGGAGCACAAAAAGTGCAGCACTGGAGCATGTAGAGGCATGCAGGGGCATGGAGGTGGGACTATTCTTTTTAACAGAGGTGGAAGGTAAGGGGAGGGAAAGGTTTTTTTTTTAGTTGTTTTTTTAAAGAAACACTTCTTTTGGAGTTTGGATTTAACGCTCAAATTTTTTGGCTTTAGTTGGTCGCAAAGTTTCAATGACACTAAAAGAGTATTCTCTAAAGAACACTAACTGCATGCTAATCAAGAACTAAGGAAGTATTGAGATCAGACAGCCAGGGAAATAGTATTTTCACAAGGCAGCTAACAAAAGAACTCTCTGGGGGGAATTTATCAAAACTGGAGCAGACAAAAACCGGCGCAGTTACCCGTGGCAGCTTCTAACTTTTATTTTCAAAACTTAACTGAACAAACTGAAGAGAGAAGCTGATTGGTTACCATGCACAACTGCTCCAGATTTTGTCTGCTCCAATTTTGATAGATTTCCCCCACTATCTTTAATTCAGTACAGGTTTTCCTTTATAGATATTATCCACTTTCAAGTCATCTATCTACTACAATTTTATCTGAAATTTTAATTGAGATACTCCATCTGTTTCCTTGATTAGGAACTATACTGAAATAACATTCATAGTATGTAATGTATTATATATTTATATTGTATTTCTTTTCCTTGATCCTCCCAGATTCTAGGAATCACCAATCCTGAAGGGAAGAAGAAATATTTTGCGGCTGCTTTCCCAAGTGCTTGTGGGAAAACCAACTTGGCCATGATGCGGCCCTCAATGCCAGGCTGGAAGATTGAGTGCGTTGGTGACGACATTGCCTGGATGAAGTTTGATGAACATGGTAATTATTAGTTTTCATTTACATGAAATACTGAATCTAGCAGGTAACAGAGCTTAAAAAAAGTAGGTGTAGCCAAAGTTCTTTCATTAATAGGATGTAACAGTAAAAGCATTTTTCTTAAAACATCATTCGAAAATGAACCATATAGTGTTTGTGATCTCTTTTGTCCTCTTCAGTACGTTTATCTTGTTGTTGTCTACATTTGAATACTAATTGGAAAATATAATTGATTTTTAAGGAAACCTCAGAGCTATTAACCCTGAAAATGGCTTTTTTGGAGTGGCTCCTGGAACCTCTGTGAGGACCAACCCAAACGCCATGGAGACCATCAGAAAGAATACCATATTCACCAATGTAGCAGAGACCAGCGATGGTGGCGTCTACTGGGAGGGCATGGACATGAAATTAGAACCGGGAATGACTTTGACGTCATGGAAAAACAAAGAATGGACACCTGAAGCTGGTAAGATCATTGGGGTAGCAAATCTTATACACTGGAATGTTTCAGCCCCATTCTACTCAGCTACCATAAAGTTGATTTTGTAATTCTTCTTTAAGAAAGTCAAATATGGGTCTTTAGCTATCGGTAAACATTCCAAAAACTTCAACCATGATCCATTCCCATATCACAAAGATTTGAGAAAATGAATTTTAATACACGTTTCATTCTTGCAGGTGAACCAGCTGCCCATCCCAACTCTCGTTTCTGTACCCCGGCCAGTCAATGCCCGATCATCGATTCTCAGTGGGAATCTTCAGAAGGAGTACCCATCGAAGGCATCATTTTTGGTGGCCGTAGACCTGCTGGTATGTATTCTGAAGCCAATAGATTTAACTGAACATAAAATGAAAAACAAAATAAAATTGAAGTTCTGTTGTAGGAAAAAAAAAATCTTAATCACATAGTACATTTGGCGTAGAATCTTGAGAGTCGTTATTCTGTCTTGCTAGAAGTTTTTTTGTTTACTGAAATATGTAACCAGTTTGTGACTTTATTTTCAAGGTGTGCCACTGGTTTATGAGGCAGTGAGTTGGCAACATGGAGTCTTTGTTGGGTCAGCCATGAGATCTGAAGCAACTGCTGCAGCTGAGTATAAAGGTGAGTAGCACTATGATATTCAGCTAATATTAGCTGTTCTTATAACATAATATAATACATTGTACTAAATCTAAACATATTCACGCTGGAAGTGAGGAGATTAAGGGGGGACATTATTTTGATGTACAAGATGTTCAATGGTGATAGCAACATCAGCAAAAAACTTTGTACAGTTAACTCTATAACAAAGACTAGAAGCCACCACCTACAATTGGTGGAGAAAAGATTTAACCACAAAGGGCGAAGGGGCTTCTTCTCAGTTAGTGCGGTTAAAGTCTGGAACTCTCTGCCACAAGAAGTGGTATCAGCAGAGAGTATTGAATCATTCAAAAAACATTTAGACAACTTCCTCAGAGACAGTAACATAAAGGGGTACGGGTACCCTTAAAAACAAGATCACATAGGGACTCTTACACACATATACACATGCAGAATCACATACATACACACAATAGGTTGAACTTGATGGACCTGTGTCTTTATTCAACCTCAAATACTACTACTAACTATGTAACTATGTAATTATAGTGGCCAGAGTCAGTAATGAAAAACGTATGGTGTCTCTTTTGTAGGCAAGGTCATCATGCACGATCCGTTTGCCATGAGGCCTTTCTTCGGCTACAACTTTGGACGGTACCTTGCGCATTGGCTCAGCATGGAGCACCTTCCATCTGCTAAACTGCCTAAGATCTTCCACGTCAACTGGTTCCGAAAAGACAAGCAAGGAAACTTCCTGTGGCCTGGTTACGGAGATAACATCCGCGTTCTCGAGTGGATGTTCAACAGGATCAACGGAGTAGACTGCGCCAAAGAGACGCCCATCGGCTACATCCCCGCCGAAGGCTCCCTGAACCTGAAAGGGCTCGGCGACATCAACATGGAAGAGTTGTTCGAAATCAACAAAGAGTTCTGGGAGGAGGAAGTCAAAGACATAAGAAAATATTACGATGACCAAGTCAATGCTGACCTGCCGTACGAAATAGAGTGGGAGCTGGATTCTTTGGAGGAGAGGTTGAAACAGTTGTGAGGGGTTGAGCAGGTGGATGTAGAGCACTTCATTTCAGTTGTAGAGAAGGACTCCTCTCTAAAACGAGAAACTTGGTGTCCCCAGCTATATAAATAGGCGCATGGTTCAGATTCTGTACCGCATAATCTTGGGCTTTTCCATGTAACGGGGGTGACCTAAGTAGTAGTATGTACTGTATCCTGTCTTCCTTTCTTTCTATATTCCTTCTCAGCATTATGTATTGTAAAGAAGAGAGGGGGCGGAGTGAAAAGGAGGACAAAAACCTATCCTAAAGCTTGTAATAGGAAAACTTCAGTGTGGGGGGAAAAAGTGGAGAGAGAGAGAAAGAGGCGATTGTAGACGAGATAAAATCCTGAGAAGCAGAGACACTTCAGGAGAATTTAAGAGTTATATGTTTCTTACGGTTATGCCGACTTTATGCATTTTATATCTATATAATTATTCTATGTATATATTTTAATACTTTATGTCATTATTTTCTCGACGTGGTTAACTGCATAATAAATATTTTTATACAGAAATACTAAAGGATTCCCTTGATGTTTGATATGAGGAAACAGAGCTCAAATATGCAACACAATACCAGGTTATTTTAAGCTTTATACTACATGCAGGGGCGTTAATAGAAATCACAGGGCCCCATAGCAAATGGACTCTGCAGGGACTCAGGTGGGCTGCACACTTCTTACCTGTCTGCGCTGTCCTCCTCCGTGGTCGCTGGGCCCCACCTCCTCTTCCGTCCACGGGCCCGGCCTCCTCTTCCATCGTCGGACCCTGTCTCCTTTTCTATCGATGGGCCCCGCTTCCTCTTACATCACTGGCCCCGCCTCCTCTTCCATCGTCGGGCCCTGTCTCCTTTTCTATCGACGGGCCCCACCTCCTCTTACATCACTGGCCCCTCCTGCTCTTAGGTCGCCGGGCCCCGCCTCCTCCTTCACTGCGAACGCCGGGCCCAGGCGGCCCACACAACATCAGAGGGATGCCCTGGCTGGGCCCCCCTGTGCCCGGGCCCCATAGCAGCCACCTGGGTCGCTATGGCGATTGTTACGCAACTGACTACATGCATATAAAAGTTGGACTCCAGGCGCATATAAAAGCACATATAATGCAGTAATACACAGCAATATATGAATAAACATATTTTTGTATCTTTATTGGTGTAAGTACCAGATTGTGACTTGGTATCAGCCAGGTGTGGTCTCTGTACAGCAGAGCTCAGGCTGGGCGGATGAGAAGCCGCACAACGAGCCAAACAGGTGTGCTGCAGTGAGAGAGAGGCAGAGAGGTGAGCTCATCTCTCTACTATTCTTTTTTACTGTCCAGTCACAGGCTAGGGGAGGGACAAGGCCTATAGCAGAGATAGGTTCCGGCACCGCCCCCTGCTAAACAAGACTGTGCTGTGTCAATCTCAGGACTGGATGGTCAGAAATACAAATCCTTTGGATCCTTGCCAAACTCTAACAGCCACAGGCATGACTCCAAGAGGTAGAAGCACAGTGTAGTTTAACCACAGCTTGAGCACCAAGGTTGCCGACCTAAAGCTCTCTTTTGCTATGTACAAGAGCTGGTAAAAATTAGTTTCTGCCAGGGCTATTATACTCTCCCTTTGCTCCGGCACTCTGCCAGAAAAAAAAAACTACAACTTAGAATTGGGTATTTATCCTACCACTTGCTGCTGCAGGCATATGCCCACAAGGGCCCTGTGGCAAATACAGATCCCCCTAAAAGAAAAGAGGTTGCCAATAGGAAATGGCGGTGTGGTGGCTGGGTGGTGGTGACTTGTACTCCTTGATTCCTGGGTTTGATCACCATCCAGAATACTACCTGCATGGTGTTTGTATGATGTGCGTGTGTCTGCATGGCTTCCTCCCATGTGTGTGTATAAAGTCCTATCTATATTCATAAGATAGATGAGTCCTCCATAAGATAAATGAGTTCCATCACAATGTTAACGGGTCAGGAAGGGGAATCTGTTGAGCTGTATATATGGAGGGTGGTTTCACCGGTGCCATCACAATGTTTACGGGTCAGGAAGGGGAATCTGTTGAGCTGTATATATGGAGGTTGGTTTCACCGGTGCCATCACAATGTTTACGGGTCAGGAAGGGGAATCTGTTGAGCTGTATATATGGAGGGTGGTTTCACCGGTGCCATCACAATGTTTACGGGTCAGGAAGGGGAATCTGTTGAGCTGTATACATGGAGGGTGGTTGCAGCGGTAGCATCACAATGTTTACGGGTCAGGAAGGGGAATCTGTTGAGATGTATATAAGGATGGTGGTTTCACCGGTACCATCACAATCTTTATGGGTCAGGAAGGGGAATCTGTTGAGCTGCAAACATGGAGGGTGGTTGCAGCGCTAGCATCACAATGTTTACGGGTCAGGAAGGGGAATCTGTTGAGATGTATATAAGGATGGTGGTTTCACCGGTACCATCACAATCTTTATGGGTCAGGAAGGGGAATCTGTTGAGCTGCATACATGGAGGGTGGGTGCAGCGGTAGCATCACAATGTTTATGGGTCAGGAAGGGGAATCTGTTGAGATGTATATAAGGTTGGTGGTTTCACCGGTACCATAACAATGTTTATGGGTCAGGAAGGGGAATCTGTTGAGCTGTATACATGGAGGGTGGTTGCAGTGGTACCATCACAATCTTTATGGGTCAGGAAGGGGAATCTGTTGAGCTGTATACATGGAGGGTGGTTGCAGTGGTACCATCACAATCTTTATGGGTCAGGAAGGGGAATCTGTTGAGCTGTATAGATGGAGGGTGGTTGCACCGGGAGCATCACAATGTTTACGGGCCAGGAAGGGGAATCTGTTGAGCTGCAAGCATGGAGGGTGGTTGCAGCAGTAGTGTAGGACATATAGGTGGGCCATTTTGATAATAAGGTCAAGATTTGTGCCTGGAGTTCTGCTTATACATAACAAAGGTTGTTCTCCAGCGCCTCTGGAATAGTGAGATCACATTGTAATAAAGAAGGAACATATTCATCTACACCTTTCCAATTATTGTTTTGTAATTTAAAGAGAAATGGCGCTCCACCAGGATTTTATGGACCTTGGCATCACAAGTTGTTGACTTTCACCAGAAATCATTTGTTAGGAAACTGATTGCAGAGCTGTAAACTTGATTAGCAGAGATAGTGTCAGCGAGTACACACAGAGGTCAGCCATGATGTCAGCAAAGAGCAGAACGAAGATGTGAGCATTGATGGACCTTTGAGACTTGTGCGTTGTGGCAATGCATGTTTACGCTCATGGGCTGCCTAAGTGTGAACGGACCCTACAGGTTCTGCCTTTCAGATGAGAGACTTGCCTGAGGTGACATTTAACCCAAACTTTATTTATTTTTTTTAAGCTTGGGGAAGAGTGAGTTTACTCCTCTGCATGCCTTTACTGCGGTCTGTCACCCCATTGGGAAAATCTTTCCCTGATCTGGGTCCTTCTGTGATAGTCAGGGCTCTGCTGTGAGCTTAAAGCCTAACTCTGGGCTCTGACTCCTGCAATGTGCCTTATGTCACACATACTTTGCACTAAGGCAGCCCATTCAAAATCAACAGACTGCCAATGCACCCTAAGAAGCTTAAAATAGCATGTGACCCTTTATTATTAACGCAACAGTAGTGCATTGCTGTGAGTTACAATGCAGGTTCATTGCCTTAGTATGTTGGGGCGCAAGGGTGTCCCTAAATTTTTTGTGGGATAAGGGGTGTGCGCTGCTAATGCATATTCCGAGAGGGGGTGTGCAAGTGGTGCACATAACTGGGGGTGGGAGTAGAGGTAGGGCCAGGAGCTGGGTGGGATGCTGGCCAGAGCGTCCCACTCAGCTCCTGGCAACCAGTGACATCACTGGTTGCCAGGAGCTGGGCGGGACACCAGCCAGAGCATCACAGGTTGCTAAGAGCTCTTTGCAACCTGGGATGCTCTGGCCGAAAAGGGGGCAGCAGGTGTGGGAGGGGCCCCCTACATGACCCCAAGAGATGCCACCCGAGGCAACATTATAGGGATGTCCCTGTTGGGATGCCATTCGAAATTAATATGTTGCTGCGAAGTATGAATCTGACCTTAAGTAAATAAACTTAAGTTTCCTAAATTTGCTCAAAAATGTAGAGAACACTAAATAAAATATACTAATCAACTGCACAAACACCCCCAACTCCCTCCCCCCAAAAATAAAAAACCCTCTAAATGCTCATTACCATCAGTAACTCTAATTTCATGTGCAAATATCTAGCTATTGCGAGTTATTTCATGGGGCCGTGGCTGCGGCCTACCCTCCCTAACCCACTGAATTGAAGTTCTTTTGAAGTTTATCTTTCCCCGGAGATAGGCTTTTACTTTCCCAAAATGACTGATCATGAATTAACTGGGAACACACAGATAACTTGACTGAGTCAATCAGTTGGGATGGACACACCCCTCTTTTTTGTCTGTTCATACGACTCGTTGTGAAGCTTTAATTAGAAAGTATCAAGCAACAAGTGATCGGGTCACCAATGGACAACACAATGTTACCGCCCAATGAGAGGAAATCCCCTCGTAGACAGTTGTCACCGGGACAGGTGTCCCCTTTGGAGAATTTCCCCCTCTACTCCTGTTCCAATGCCAACAGCTACCACCTCTTGTATCACTTGCCTCTCCCTTTTAGATTGTAAGCTCTCCCGGGCAGGGTCCTCCATTCCATCTTATCTTGATTTGTATTGCAACTGTCATGTCTTTCTTATATTGTAAAGCGCTACACAAACTGTTGGCGTCTATAGGACTAAAACGCCTGTGAAACGAGAATGCCT